GAGAGAGAGAGAGAGAGAGAGAGAGAGAGAGAGAGAGAGCATTTGGAGCCCAAAGCCCTGAAGTCCCAGCTCTCTGACTTCCTTGTGACCTTGAAAGCTGTTTCCATCTCTGAATGCCGTGTCACCATGTGAAGCAGGGGTGGCCGTGCAGCCCCCCTGTTGGGGAGGGTGAAGCCGGAGATCTGGGGACCCCGGGGGGTGCAGTGAGGTGCATGAAGCACCCCTGTAATCTGGAGCCGGAGACAGCAGGACTCCTTCGGGCCTCTTCCCTCACAGGCTCCTCTGGTCCCGGGACCCTGGCCCTGGAGGCTGCTGCTGAGCTAAGGGCACTCGCGATGCTGACCGTGGGCAGGGCCTGGCCATGGGCCCTCGCATGCCCACGTGGCTCCCACTTAGGGAAGGGGGGCCCTGTATCACTTTATCAGCTCGATGACCCCATCCCCGGCCTGGGGCAATCACCCGCCCCTCCCCACTTCCCCAAAGCCCAGTATAAGGGCTGCGTGTGGGGTGCCGGAGCCAGGGTACCCCACAGAGGCCTCAGCTCTCGGGAGGTGAGTGGGGATCTCGCTGCCTGGCCAGAGGGCTCCAGACCTGGGGGATGCAGGAGCCCTGGAGACACTGGACACCTGTCCTGGGCTCCCTCCCTGGTGGCCGCTGTCCCCCCTCTGCCTCCTCCAGCGTGAGCAGAACCAGCTGCAAACCGCACCAGCCTTGTCCCTGCCGGGCTGGGGTCTGGGCGGTGCCAACTCAGGGCGGAGAGAGGGTCTCTGGGAGAGGGACCGTGTGCCTCCGTGTCCCCTCCTGTCCCTCCTCAGAGTCCCTCAGCTCTGTCTAGAGGAGGAGGAGGAAGCTCTCTAGTTTGCTCCTAGCCAGCGAGTTAGACAAACACTGTGTCTGCCCTGTGTTCTGCAGGAGGACGTGGACCAGCCCGCCTGAGGCTCAGCGGACATGTGGCTGCTCTCACTCCTGCCCCCAGCCCTGCTGCTGCTCAGGGTGGCTGCTGCTCTCCGCCTGGGTACGTCCTCCCAGCCCTGCCCGCCTGGCCCTCACTTTCCTAACTCGCCCGTCATCTCCGCTCTCCTGGGGTGTTGGCCACCGCCCCTCCTGCTCAGCTGCCCCAGTCCCTCCTCTCTGTATAGTCGGGTGCACTAGTGTTTGGTGCATATATATTTAGGATTGTCATCTCTTCCTCCTGGACTGTTCCCTTCACAAGCATGTAGCGACCATCTTTGTCTCTCTTAATTAGTTTTGGTTTGAAATCTACTTTGTCTGCAAATAAGACTGCTACCCCTGCTTTTTTCCAGGTTCCTGTCACATGGAGAACTGTTTTCCATCTTTTTACTTTCAGTCTATGAATTTCCTTTTGAGTTAGGTGTGTTTCTTGTATTCAGCATATTGTTGGATTTTGCTTTTTTTTTTGGACTGGGGATCAAACTGGCGACCTTCCTCTTGGGTGGCAGGCGGTGGCACCACTGAACTAAATCCTGGCCAGATTTTGCTTCTTAATCCATTCCGCCAGTCTGTTTCTTTTGATTGGTGAATTGAGGCCATTAACATTGATGGTTATAACTGATATGTATTGACTCATCCTTGTCACCTTATTTTCCTGTTGTTGGCTCTTTCACTCCCTCCATCTCTGGCAAACCTTGCTCAGAGCTGAAAGAAGGCTGGTGACCACCCAGCTTCCCAAGCATGCGCCCTTTTGTCCCTAAAACACCCTGTAGTGTCCACTTGGGAGCTGAACCCAAGGGTGCTCCTGGCCCAGCACCCAGCGCCCTCCTGTGCGGCCGGGCTATGGGTGTTGTCCGTGGCCCTGCGGGGCGGGGGGGAGCGCCCAGTGACAGTGGGCAAACTCTTCCTCCTAGAGAAGGCTGCACCCCATCTGCAGAGCTCAGAGAGGGAGCCTGAGCTGGGCTGGGGTCCTGACAGCACCAAGGAGCAGGAGGGAGACTTTGGCCTGTCCGAAGAGTCAGTTCCAACTGCGGGGCATGAGGCCTGGGCTCCCCAGTGTCCAGACGCCTGTGAGGACTCGGAGGAGGAGGAGGACGGGCAGTCAGGTGCAGCTGCCCTGGACAAAGACTCGTCGTGCCCTGGGGAGGAGGACGCCGTCCCAGTCCAGGGGGGTCCCAAGTGTCCAACCTGCCACTACCTGCTGGTGCGGACGCCCAAGTCGTTCAGACAAGCTCAGGTGAGGGCCGGCGCTGCCACAGAGGAGGGGGAGAGCGGATTCTGCCCTGCTTGCTTAGAGGGTGGCTCTCAGGCTGGCTTCAGAATCACCCAGAGGCCTCGTTAGAGTACAGATTGTGGGCTGCACCCCAGCTTCTGATGTGGACATTGGGCGAGGCCCGAGTCTGCATCCATAAGCCCGGGAGCTGCTGACATGCTCTTCATCGGAGGTTTGGACTTGGGCCATGGGCATGAAGGCCCTGTGTCAGACTCCACCTGTGCTTTTCCCCGGGGCCTCACCTTCACCTGCTGAAAGCACAGTTGTCCCTCGGGGTCCCCTGTGGACACCATATTTTGCAGATGCTGAAGTTCTTTACATAAAAGTGGTATAGTGTTGGCTTACGACTTCCACTGAGCTGGCTGTTTACTTCAAGTCATCTCTAACTGGTTGTAATACCTAATGTTGCCAGATGTTGTGGCACACGCCTGGCACTTGGGAGGTTGAGGCAAGAGGGTTGCATGTTCGAGTCCTCCCTGGGCAAATTAGCAAGATCCTGTCTCAGAGTAGAAAGGGCTAGGGGTGTAGCTTGGCATGAAGGCCCTGGGTTCAATCCCCAGCACACAATGATAACCTAATATGATGGAAATGCCATATACATTGTTATGCTGCATATCAGAGAATAATGACAAGAAAATGTCTGCATAGAACCTGTCTATTGGAGGAGAAGATTCCTAGTTTTCCCTTTAGCCAATGAATTAAACACACACCCCGCCTACACTATGTGGCAGCCGCTTCTCCAGATACGCAGATGGCCCTGGGCATATTTCTGGAGAGGTTTAAAAACTTTTTTTTTTGACACAGGGACTAGCTACACAGTTCAGGCTGGTTTCAAACTCACTGTGCACCCCAGGCTGGACTTGAGCTTGCCACCCTCCTGCCTCAGCCTCTTGAGTGCAGGGATCACAGACATGCACCACTCTGCCTGGCAAGACCAAATTTGCAAAGATGCTTTTGATAAATGTTGGCTGGATCCATGATGGGGAGCTGGTGCATTATAGAGGGCTGACTCTGGCATTAATCTCTCAGAGCTGTGGGGAGGGTTCAGTGAGATACCGCATTTGGAATAATCCAGTGAGTACTCAGCAAGTGCCGGCTATGATCCTTAGGAGTTTCATGATTATGTCCTGCAAGGACGGATTCAGCAAGTGCGGATTCAGGAGGAGAGAACTGAGGAAGGCGAAGAGGTCCCTTAGCTCTAACCCACAGATGCTGCAGGTCTTTCCTGGGGTGGTGGATGGGACGGAGGAGCAAGGCCCCTACCCCAGCCCTTCTCTCCACAGAACGTCTGCAAGAGATGCTACCGAGGCAACCTGGTCTCCATCCACAGCTTCAGGGTCAACTCCCAGATCCTCCTGCAGGCCAGCAAGATCAACCTGGCCCAGGTCTGGATTGGAGGGATCCTCAAGGGCTGGGTAAGTCATGGGCCACTTCCGGTACTGGAAGTTCTTTCTTTCTGTCTCAGAGCAGTGTTGGCGAACCTGTGGCCAGTGTGCCCAGCAGGCTGTCTGTATCACTGAAAGCTCTAAAAGGCTCGCCATCCCTGTCTTAGGGGATGCCCTGCCCAGGCAGGCTGGGATCCGCTCTTAGCTGGTGTCCTGGCACACCTGGCGGAAGGCCTGTCCCCCTGACCCCAGCTTGGTGCTGCAATCATAGAAGTTGAGAAAGAGCCCAGGTTCCAACATCCCTCCAGGGCCACGCCCCCAATGACCTGAGTTCCTCCAACTAGGCTCTGCCCCTTAAAGGCCTACCACCTACCAGTTACCCCATAGGCTGGGAACCATGCCTTAAACACATGGGCTTTGGGAGGCATTTCAGACCCCGGCCACAGCACGCTCCGGATCAGGGCTCCTTCCTCCTTGCCATCTCCTCATCCTCCCCCAGAGCTGGGCAGCACAATGCTGGCTTCGGGAGACTGTTCTAGCAGACAGGCACCATCCTTAGCTCAGGCCTTTTCGGACCTGTCCCTGGACCTTTAGCTCCTCCATCCCTAGGGGGTTCCTCTGTTTGAGGCTCCGGGGTTGTGGGAGAACAGGCGACAGCATATGTGGTACTCGAGGTGCAGTCCATGGACCAGCATGGCCAGGCAGCTTGTTAGAAATGCAGCATCCAGGCCACATCCTGGGCACCTAAATCACTCCTGCATGGGAGCAGGATGCCCCAGTGGCTGGGGCTGCGCTCTGGCCAGGCTGCACCCCATGGTTGCCCCTCTGTTGGGTGCCCACAGGCCTCAGGGGGCAGGGCAGGGCATTTAGACCCCTGCCAGGCAGGGTTGGAGGACAGGCTGTTCCCAGGCCCTGCATCTTCCCGCCCGCCTGGACCTGGCCTTCTGACCCCATCTCTAGTTCTGGTGGAGGAAGTTTCGATGGACCGATGGCAGCTGCTGGAATTTTAAATACTGGGCCCCGGGGCAGCCCAGGCACGGGAAAGGCTGCTGTGTGGCCATGAGCACCAAAGGTGAGGGCACATGATGGGGCACGGAGCCACCTGCAGCTGCTGTCCCCAGTAGCCCGGAGGTGGCTCCCAGGGCATCCTCCTCCCACTGTGAACCCCGGACCTGCCACAGGGAACCCCACAAGCAGGGCAGGGCAGGGCTGTGTCCCCTGCGTCCTGGGATAGGGAGGCACACGCCAGGCAGATGTGGGCCCAAGAGCAGCGGATGCGAACGTCAGGTGCAGACGAGGGAGGGGGAAACGGGAATCAGAGAGGCCAGCTGGGCTCGGCGCCGGGACGTGAGGGACAAGCGGATGTGGGAACACGAGAGGACAGCTGTGGCTCTGCAAGGGAATGGCCACCCGGGGACGGAGACCCAGGCAGGAGGCCTCCGGGAGCCTCAGTCCCTCTCCCGTGAGCACAGGGGTCTCGGCGTGGACAGAGTGACTCCCCACGACGCCCTTCCGGGAGCTGACGGCCTCTGCTCTCTCCTCCAGGGGGCCACTGGCAACGCACCAGGTGCTGGAAGGGCCTGCCCTTCGTCTGCTCCTACTAGACCCTGCCCCGAGGGAGCCTCCTGCTTCTGCCCCCTGGCACTGGGCTCGGGCCATAAACCAAGGCTTCGCAAAGCATCGCGTCTCCTTTCTTCCGCTCGTTGGTTTGGGGGTCTTGGGGGTCGGGTGTGGTGGGGAGGACCTACCTGGGGCGCCTGGGAAGGTTGTGGGGGTCGCTCACAAGGCGGCGAGGCGGTGCGGGGACCCGCCCAGCCTCACCCGGGACCTCGGGGGCGTGCGTGGGAGGGCGCTGGACCCCGGCTTTGCAGGGTGGGGCGGCTTTGCCAAATGGAAGCAGATTCTGGAATTAGTGTGGAATACTGGGGTCGCGCTGGGAGTCTGGGGACCCTGAGGAGATCGGCTGCCTCCCTGGCCTTGCCCAGATGGGCCCCTGGCAAGAAGGCGTGACTACGCACACACGTGCGTGTACCCGGGCGCCAAGTGTGCGTGCATTCGCACCTCGAAATTCAGGGCACAGCCGCCCGTCCGCGTATCCCCCTTGCGGAGCCTGGTGGCCCTGTGCCCTTCCCTCCGGTGCCTGACTCTCGGGTGCGTGTGTGTGCACACGCGTGTGTGCGCCTGCGTCTGAGCACAGCGCGTCAGGTCCGCGTGTAACCGGCGTGCACCCGCTGGCACCGGCTCTCCCAGGTGTCCTGTGCTCTGCGGGAGCAGAGGGTCGGGACAGGCCCAGCCCGGGGTGGGCGGCTGGCGGGTGGCCTGGCGTGGCCCTGCCAGGATCCTTCTGCACCAAAGCTCCCCTGGGCGGCCCAGGGTGGGCCAGATGCCCTCGGTTAACGGGTCCCCACTTCCACCCTATTTCCGCATTCATTCCTTTGGCTGCTTAAAACCTTCAGTCTTGAAAAGCTCTTGATTGCAAAGCAAGTACTCCTGAGAGAAGAAATGCCCCGGGGGCTCCCTGTTAATACGTCAGGCGGCTTGCTGGGATGGAGGATCGGAAAGCAGGGGCTCGTGGGGGATGCGTGGAGGGGAAAGGGGGCGGAGAAGCCCACTGGGCCGTGTCCACCGCTCTCTCTTCCCTGACACTAAGGAGACCTGGTTTCCAGGGTTCCAGGGCAGCCGCGGGCCCTGCAGCCTGCTCAGGAGAGGAAGTGGGCTGGCAGCCAAAGGACCCCCTAACCCTCCAGCTCTAAGCCTTCAGCTCTGACTCCTTACTGCAGCAAGACCTGCCCGACTCCGACATGAAGGAAAGAAGGTGCCAGGTGTGGGGGCGCACGCCTGTCATCCCAGCACTCGGGAGGCTGAGGCAGGAGGATTGCTGAGGGTCTGAGGTCAGCCTGGGCTACAGAGGGAGACTCGAAAAAATGAACAAATAAATAATTTAAAACTTTAAAAAACAAATGGCATTCACACAGGTCCTGATTTTTCCCAGACAGGGCACAGGAATCAACAACCCAAGCTCCAGGGTCATAAAACTCTGGGTTCAAGTCCAAGCTGTCCTATTTCCATTTCGTAGTTCAGCTAAGCCTCACTTTCTCCTTCTGCAGAGCAAGAGGAGAAGTAGGCCTCGCCTGCCACACATTTAGTCTGCAGCTTGCTGATGGGGAGTCATCAAAAAGTGAGCTTTTATGTCAAGTCTATTTTTTTTTTTTGAGACGTCTCACTGTGTAGCCCAGGCTGGCCTCAGACTCTCAGCGATCGTCCTGCCTCAGCCTCCCGAGTGCTGGGAGTACAGGTGTGACCACCATGCCCGGCATATGCTGAGTCGTTAAAGAATCAATTAGTGGAAAAAAAAAAAAAAAGAATGAATTAATGTCCTGCTCTGGTTTCCAAGTGCTGCCAGTTCGGTTTTCTTTTTCTTTTTTTTCTTTTTGGTGCCGGGGATCGAAC